TGTGAGGCTTTTCCCACGCGTGCTCGTGCTCCCTGGGCTCTCCCCACCTTGGTGTGCTTTCTGTCTCTCCCGCTCCCGCTCACAATGCCAGCACACCCTGCCCGTGCTCCCCTCTGGACTTCCCCTCCTGCTTTCTCTCTCTCTGGCATAGCCCCTTTGGAGATCAGCAGAGGAGTGGGTGGGCGTCTCACCCGCGGGCAGAGCCGCGCTCATCCGGAGCACCGCCAGCAGGTTCTGTACATCACTCTGAATGCTCTGGGCCACACCAGGGTACTGTGAAGGAAGAGGGGGAGAGTGGGAGTCACTCCTCTGGGCCAGCAGGGTGCCCACCCCTACCCTGCCCAGCCTCCTCTCTCACCTGGATCTTCACAGCCACCTCCGTCCCGTCCCTCAGCAGGCCCTGGTGCACCTGCCCGATCGAGGCAGCGGCAAAGGGCACCTCCTCCAGGGAGGCCACCTTGTCCTGCCAGTCCTTGCCAAGCTCCTCTTCGAGAACTCTCTGTGGGGAGTGGTCACAGCCGTCATCATCACAGCTGAGTTCATTCCCCAGGCTGAGTGCTTTACCTGTTGATAACCCCAACACTCACCACATGCAGAGCCCTGGGCTAAGCTCTTGGCTGCCATCCCCTTTACAGATGAGGAAACTGAGGCTCAGAGAGAATTCTCTTGCCCAACTGACTCGCCAGGCACTGGCAGACTGTGAGGCTCAGCCCAGCTTGTGTCCCCCAAGCCTGGACTCCTTGGGCTGGTGGGCTGTTGTGGGGATTACTATTATTTACATCTGAGAGTCACAACAATCCTCCCCCCCTTTTTTTTTGAGACAGGGTCTCGCTCTGCAGCCCAGGCTGGGGTGCAATGGCACCCTCACGGCTCACTGCAGCATCAGCCTCCCTAGCTCAAGCCATCCTCCTGCCTCCTGAAGAGCTGGGACTACAGTTACATGCCACTGTGCCCGGTTAATTATTACTATTGTATTTAGTAGAGACAAGGTCTCACTATGTTGCCCAGGGTGGTCTGGAACTCCTGGCTCAAGCAGTCCTCCTGCCTCGGCCTCCTAAGGGATTACAGGCGTGAGCCATCACACCTCGCCAACCATCCTTATTATGCTCTTATGTGGTATTATTAACTCACAGTCAATGTGATCAAGAAGAGCTAAAATTCACAGAGGGCTTCCTGTGGGCCAGGTCCTATTCAGAGTGGCCCAGAGAGAGGCCATAGCTGCCTGGGCCACATGGTGAGGAAGCAGAACAGGGATCGGAGGGCAGGTGGGTGGCAGAATCCTGGATTCCATGCCTTACCCAGTTATTAGAACAACTCATGTCTTGGGTACTTGCTCAGTGCCAGGGGCCATGCCAACTTATTTACAGACATGATTTCCTTAAATTAAGAAAACAGTAATAATCACCACTAACACCTGCATGTCACTCACGGTGAATCAGGGGCTGTCCTCAGTGCCCTGTGTAAGCTAATTTATGTGATCCTACAATGTGGGTGTGGCTGTCACTCTTGCCATTTCCCAGGCCAGGGAACTGAAGCACAGAGGTCAAGCTGCTGCTCTTTCCTTTAATCATCACAGCAATGCTAGGAGGTGTGTACTTTGGTGATCCCCATTTTACAGATGGGGAAAGGGAGGCTCAGAGGCAGGGAGTGGGGCAGTGAAGCCAGGAGGGTCAGGCAGGTCGGGGAAGATGGAGCCTGCCTCCCTCACCACCCTCCCACACCGGGCACTCACCAGCATCTGCCAGCGGGGCATGAAGTCGGCGCTCTGGCGGACCCGCTCGAAGATGCGCTGCAGCTGAGGGCTGATGAAGCTGTTGTCTTGGGAGACAGTGGAACAATGAGGGGCAGTAAGGGAGGAGGTGAGGAAGGACCCCCATGTGAGTACCTGAAGTTGGGGCCTGTTGGTGGTAGGGCTGGGGTGGAAATGAGATCAGGGTCAGGGGTCAGGGTTCGAGGGTCATGCTGTACCCTGGATGCTGAGCATCTGGCCAACCTTGAGGGCGGCCCCTCGAACTGTACATAAAGTCTGCACGATCCGTTCTGCATTGGCCTCCGACAGGAAGGGGCTGGAGTCTGGCCCAGAGCCATCCTCTGGGGAGAGAACAACATTAGAATTAACAAATATCATCACTGCGGCCGGGCCTGGTGGCTCATGCCTGTAATACCAGCACTTTGGGAGACCGAGGTGGGATGAATGCAGGAGTCTGAGACTAACCTGGGCAACAGTGACATCCTTTCTCTATTAAAATAAAATATATCATCTGCACACCAACAGGAATGACTAAAATGAAACATGGAGGCCAGGCGTGTTGGCTCACGCCTAAAATCCAAAGACTTTGAGAGGCCAACAGAGGAAGCCTTGAGCCCAGGAGTTCCAGACCAGCCTGGACAACAAAGCAAGACCCTGTCTCTAATTAGCTGGGTGTATGGTGGCATGTGCCCGTAGTCCCAGCTACACAGGAGGCTCAGGCAGGAGGAGTCCCTGATCCCAGGAGGTTGAGGCTGCAGTGAGATGTGAACGCACCATTGCCCTCCAGCCTGGGCAACAGAGCTAGACCTTGTCTCAGAAAAAAAGGAAATAAACATAAATTAAAACAAATTGCAGGAGAGTCACAGAGTGCCTCCTACAGTATCGAATAGACGAGCTACCACCACACACTACAGCCCAGGCGCGTCTCACAAACGTGCTCAGTGAAAGCAGCCGGGTGCGTGAGAGAATACCGCCCAGTTACACTGATACAAACAGCAAAACGAGGCAAAACAAATCCAGATTCCAGGAGCCAAGACAGAGGTCACCCTTGGTGAGGGGAGTAACCAGGTGGGGACAGGAGAAGGGCAACAATTCTCGAAATGTGGGCCAGGAGCCGCTGAGGGTCCCTGGGACCATGCAGAGGGCTCTGCGAGATCAAACTATTTTCCTCGTGACACTAAGATGTTACTTTTCCTTTTCTGCTCTCACACCTGAGAACATTCAATGGAGTTCTCTAGAGGCACCAGGACATGTGAGGACAGCATCAGGCTGACAGCTGGTGGAATGTGTATGTGTGTACTCTTGTGTGTTAAAAATGTCTCCATTTTTTGTGTGTGTTTTTGAGACGACGTCTCACTCCATCACCCAGGCTGGAGTGCAGCGGCACAATCACAGCTCACTGCAACCTCCTGAGCCCAAGTGATCCTCCTGCCTCCACCTCCTGAGTAACTGCAGCTACAGGTGTGCACCACCAGGCTTTGCTAATTTTTTTGCTTTTTGTAAAAATGAGGCCTCGCTATGTCACCCAGACTGGTCTCAAATTCCTGACCTCAAGGGATCCTCCTGCCCCAGCTTCTCAAAGTGTTGGGACAGACATAAGCCACCGCACCTGGCCTAAAAATTTCTCAGTTTTAATCTCTAATACAGTAAACGTCGATAAATATAACCCACATAAACAACCTCTTTGGGTGCTCATTCTATTTTTAACAGTTTTATTGAGAAATAACTCACATACTGTATAATTTGCCATTTAAATTATATAAGTCAATGATTATTAGGATATTCACAGAGTTGTCAAGCATCACCAGAATCAACTTTAGGACAGTTATGCCACCCAAAAAAGAAACCTGGCCGGGCATGGTGGCTCAGGCCTGTGATCTTAGCACTTTGGGACGCCGAGGCGGGAAAATCACTTGAGCTCATGAGTTTGAGACCTGCCTGGGCATGTGGTAAAACCCCATCTCTACAAAAGATACAAAATATAGCCATGTGTGGTGGTGCACACCTATAGTCCCAGCTACTCAGGAGACTGAGGCAGCAGGATCACTTGAACCCAGGAGGTGGAGGTTACAGTGAGCCATGATCCACCACTGTACTCCAGCCTGGGTGATAGGGGGAGCCTCTGCCTCAAAAAAAGAAAAAAAAAAAGAAACCCTATACCCATTAGCAGTCACTCATTTTCCCCAATCTCCCCAGGCCTTGACAACCACTAAGCTACTTGTGTCCCTACAGATTTCCCTATTTTGTACGTTTCATATGAATGGAATCACTCAATATGTGGTCTTTCTGTGTGTGGCTGCTTTCACTTAGTGTTTTCCTTTCTTTCTTCTTCTTTTTTTTTTTTTTTTTTT